TGGTGATAGGTGGATGGTTGGACTGGATGATCTTATAGGTCTTTTCCAACCTTAGTGATTCTGTGATTCTTGTGGATCCCATCCAACTTGAGCTATTCTATGTCTCTGTAGTTCTACAGAGGTCACTCTGGAAGTAGTGCTTCCTTTTTATTTCCATGGAAATTACAACAGGTACGAAGAACGCATAATCACTATCCGATAATGTTTTGTAGCTGAGAATTTGCTCTATTTTTCAAGGTAGTCACCACCACTAGCTATGCATTTTCTCCAGCATTGAACAAAAGCCTGCATGCTGCGCTCATAAAAATCTGTACCTGCAGAGGTAACCACTGTTTCACTGCAGTAGTGATGGCATCATTGCTGAAACACACCACCCACTGCCTCCTTGTGCTAACATCCACTGGTTAGTTTGCATAAACATTCAGGGAACTTCAGTGGATGTCAGGGGGTGCAATTTTTTCTGCATGGAGGGATGCAATTCCATGTCTTTGCTTTGTAAGCAGTTCCATGTCAGATGCTGTTTTGTCAGAATGCCCATCTGCTGCACACCAAAGTTTAATGGGATACTGATGAGAAGGTTCAGCCTCTACTACCATCCGCCTCTGACTTTGTGGGCCAACAGAATAAAATAGGAGGCATTACTCTTGAAGCAGACCTCATGCATTGGGCTGTGGTTCATGGATAAGTATAGTTGATGTTTTGTTGTGGTTTGTACAGGTAATCCAACCTGCTTTCAGGTTTTTTCCTCCAAGCTTCTCCATGGACAAAGCTGCAACTTTTGTCTATTGTAGGTATGTTCACTAAGAGTCTTTCACATTTTTAGCTATTCTGGGGAACTCTGTTTTGTTCTTTATCTTTAATAATAATCTTCTGCCAGCAGGTAAGGAAGAGGAGCCTTCAGTTTCCTAAGTTGTGGTATGAGTGTGAGGAGAGTGGGCTGTTTCTTGCACAGGGAAATTGCATTAAGAGTGTGCAGGAAAAAGAAGAGCTCTAACTGGTTGGGTGGGTTGGGGGAGGAGAGAAACATAGATGGAAATCCACTGATATTTAACCAGTTTCCCCACATCCTTCCTTTTAACTTACAGGTATCCTTGATTTGCAGAAGGCATCTCAAAATGTCGTGTCAAGCCGCTCTGAGCCCTCTTGTCCGTTCCCCTGGATGGTGCTTTGTGTTATCGCCACATGCCATCGCAGCCATTTCCCGTTTCTGTATGTATGAGAGAAAGCACACGTTTCTAATAGTGTTAATCAGTGTGTGTCCAGGTGTGCCTGTTCTTTTTCTTAAAAGGAAAATCCCCTCATTAACATCATTCAAAACTTAAAAACTCTGGAGTGAGCTGCAATTGAAGCTGTACTTTTGCTGTTACTTTCTTCCTTACTCTGCTGTGCTGATAATGGGCTGGTTTGCCTTAGGATCCTTTGTAAGCTTTTGATAAACAAAGATTTTGCTAAGGCATATTCCCTTGTTCATTGCCTTAAATGAGATGCCAGCCCTGTGCATGTTCTGTCTTACCTGAATAATGCTGTGACTGTCTCTGCTCCTTGCAGTGCCTGTTCATACTGTAGGTAGGTGGCTTGCAGTTCATTGTTCATCATCCCTCTTCTGTTGCCCCCAGTTTAGCAACATGAGAAAGTATCTGACTTACAGGCTTCATAAAAGCTGTGCTTTTTTTTTTTCTAGCAGTCAAGCTTTCTGCTGTACTACAGACAGAAAAACTCTTTAGCTGTATGTCATGAGTCAAGGCAGAGGAGTTTAAAGGCAAAGTTTTTAAAGCTAGCACTTGTATTTCTGTTGTGAGTTGGATGGGCTATTTAAGTGTCATTCAGTCTTGTTTTTTTTTATTCCCAGAGTCAAGGCTGTAACACATCGGGTATTGCTTTATATACCTTAGGGATGGTTAGTGCTGCTATAAAAATATTCACTCACGTTTTATTTCAGTGTCTTCAAAGCTGGCTTCTTATTCCCTGTCATTGAGAGGTGTGTGTTGTGAGCCTTGGGAAGGGAAGAAATGTTACATGACTTAAGGGACTTGGAAGTCCGAATTAAACACTTAAAACTGTATTTTTTTTTTCTTTAACCACAGATCTCCCTCACCATACCCAGAGTTTAAGGAATGAATCCATCCGTTGTTGGAGCAACATCCCATTTATCACCATGCCACTCAGCCGTGCACATGGCAAATCATTTGCACACCGCAGTGAGCTGAAGCATGCGAAGCGGATTGTCGTGAAGCTGGGCAGTGCTGTTGTGACAAGAGGGGATGAGTGTGGCTTAGCCCTTGGGAGGCTGGCATCTATTGTGGAGCAGGTAATTTTGTAACTGAATTGGAATGGTTGTTCTAATTTCAGGTATTTAGTCATTGTTGGATGGCATAGAAAAATACAGGAAAAAATCATAAAGCCCCTTTAAAGCCATGTATTGGCGTTTCACTTTTTAATTCCCCTGTGCTTTGGTAGCATAAACCATGTAACTCAGCATGGTGAGTTGACTGTAGCCAGCAACTGAGCAACCATACATATGCTTCCTGTCTCCTTCTTCAAGCACCCACCACTGGTGGGATTGATAAGAAAATACTAAAAGCAGAAGCAAGAAAATACATGGTTGAAGTAAGGGTAATTTAATAAATGAAGGTAAGGGGAAAAGAAATATGTGATGCAAAGGCAATTGTTTATTCCCTCCCATGAGCAGACCAACACCCAACTAGTCCATGCATATGGCTGCTTGGAAAGGAAATGTCTTTTCTTCACTGCTACCACTCTTTCCTCTTCCATTAACCCAGTTTTATTGCCGAGTGTGATGTTAGATGATATGGAGTATCTCCTTGACCAATTCATGTAACCTGTCTCAGCTGTATCTCCTCTGACTTTCTTGTTCACCACTTGCTGGCTACTTGTTCAGCTACTTGCTGGCATGGAGCAAAGTAGGGAAGAACAAAGCGTTGATTCTGTGCAAGCAGTATTCAGCAATAGCAAAAACATTGGTGTATTATCAATGCTTTCAGTCCCAAAATCCGTTACAGCACCATATGGGTTTTTATGAGGAAAATTAACTCCATTCCATCAGACTCAGCACAGCAGCAACTATTCTGCACAATTTTGTATGCAATAAATAAAACGTGACTCAGGCACTAATTGTGGCTAATCCACTAATGAATCTTGTGGGAAGATAACATTAAAGTATATGAAGTTTGTAGAAAGAGTAGACCCTTCTTAATTACCTGAGCATTTGCAAATTTTCTCCAGGAGAAGCTTGTAACCTCACTAATAGGAAAAGCAATGGGATCAACTAATGGGCTGGTTCTGCAAAATGAAATGAGAACTGTGAGGGGATTTGGACTGTGTCTTCTCTGTGAAGTGAGGTTCACATAACAGATTACATTCATTTAAGACATATGGCTATAGAGCTTTGAAAGTATCCAGATGCTTTTCTGGATGAAGCGGTAAAAAGCTGTACTCTCAAGAGTTAACTTTTTCATTCCTTGAATATGAGATCACTATTTAGTAACAGCTGTGAGAATGGATAGTGAATAAGAAAGTTGGTGGAAGGTACAGTTGATACCTCATGACTTTTCTGTATCTTATCTTTTGTTATCTGTAGCAATGGAATTAGAGGTCCAAGAGTTACAGAATTGTTACCATGTGATATGTGTTGTGAAGATTAAGTTATGAGTCTGTCATTAAAAGTGGTACTGGGGGGGTGAAAAGAAAGAATAGCAGAAGTTATGGATTGCATGCAGTCTTTTACATAGCTCCTAAATGGTTAGGAAAGTGAACATCTCTGAGGATGGCTGCCTTGCTTTGGATATCTGTTGATAAGCAGAACACTTATGTCAGCAAGAATTATTGAGTATAAGATAGCTGTAATGCCCCGAGCTGTCAGGCTAGCCATGATTTTACTCCGTATTCCAGTTCTTGTTCTCTGTACTTACAGGTGTCAGTGCTGCAGAATCAGGGCCGAGAGATGATGATAGTCACCAGTGGTGCTGTAGCTTTTGGAAAACAACGATTGCGTCATGAGATCTTGCTTTCTCAGAGCGTGAGGCAGGCACTTCACTCAGGCCAAAGTCAGCTAAAAGATATGGTGAGTGATTGGCAACAGTCCCACTTTTCTTTGAATGTTGGTTAGAACCTATTTAAGTCACTGCCTGACAGCTGTTCTTTATTTCTGTAGGCTATTCCAGTCCTGGAAGCCCGAGCCTGTGCAGCAGCTGGCCAGAGTGGACTAATGGCCCTGTATGAAGCCATGTTTACACAGTACAGCATCTGTGCAGCTCAAGTAAGGGATGCCTTCTCTCCTAGGCTTGCTACTTCACTTGGTGATGGAATTGTTCTTGGCAGTTGTTGGTCATAATCAACATGGGTTTGTGAGGCCAGAGTTATGTTTGTCTAATGTAATTTTCTTTTATTCACAAGGTTACCTATTTGGTTGAATTTGGTTCACCAAGTGAAGCTAGTTTTGGATTTCAGTAAAGGTTTTGATATTATTTCTCACGGTATCTTTCTGGACAAAATGTCCAACATGCAGCTAAGGAAATATGTAATACAATGGGTCAATACAGTGGGTCAAATTGACTCACAGGTAGGTTTTAAAGAATTATAGTAAATGGAATTACGTCAGGCTGGTGACCAGTCTCCTGTGATGTTCCACAGGGCTTCATTTCTGGGCCAGTTCTCTTGAATGCTGTTAAGAATGGCCTGGAAGCAGGACTCAAATGCATATGAAGTAAATTTACAGATGACTGAGTTAGGAAGGGATAGAGCGGCCTTAAGAGAGATATTAACAAAGTAGAGATCTAGGCCATCACCATCTTCATGAAATTTAGCACGAGCTAAGGTTAAATTCTGCACCTGAGACAGGACAACACTGGATTTACACACAGACTTGGGGCTGAGAAGCTGGAGAGCAGTCCTGCAGAAAGGGATTGGGCAGGTTCCGGTTGGTAACAAACTGAATTAGTCAGCAGTGTGCCCTGGTAGCCAGAAGGACCAAGTGTACCCTGGAGTGCATCAAGCATAACAATGCTAGCTGGTCAAGGGAAGAGATTGTCCTGCCCTGCTCTGCTGTGACCTCACCTTGAGCACTGTGTGGTGAGGTCCCGGACGATTGGAGGAAGGGTCACGTCACTCCCATTTACAAGAAGGGGAGCAGGGAGGACCCGGGTAACTACAGGCCGGTGAGTCTCACCTCCGTGCCTGGGAAGATTATGGAACAGATCCTCCTGGACAATATGCTTGATCACATAAAGAACGAGCATGTGATCCTAGATAGCCAGCATGGCTTCACCAGGGGAAGGTCATGCTTAACTAATCTTGTGGCCTTCTATG